ATTCTGTTCTAGAATTGAAGTGTAGGTCTGAACCTTCCAATCCCCAGAAAGAAATCTGTTGCTCAGGGAATCTGCATAAGAAGGCATCAGCACTTACTAAGGTATTGCTTTTTGACCTAAAGATTTGCTCTGCAGGAATAGAAATTCCAATAAATTGGAGATTTCTCTGAACACTATGATTTTCAGTAAAATGTGCTTATGAAGTATTTTGAGAAATTGCAGTATACAGTATTCAAAAACTCTGCATACATTAACCTACTATGTTTACCTGTGTCCTTCAGTGCTGTGGCAAAGATGTTTACACTCTGTCAGATGACAATGTGCTGTGCTGTAATGGAATCCTTCATCTCAATGTGCCTGAGCAGTCAGAGTGTGTTGGAGGTGTTATATATACTCCACCAAACAATATTTGCCAAATGTCTGCTCGGCCCCGTCTTGGTGAGCACTGCTGTGGAGGACAAACCTTCAATCCTCGCACACATATTTGCTGTAACGGACACAGGTAGGCCCACAAATACAAAACTTTGATTTGCGTGTGTGTGCACTTGGATGGGATAAATGCAGAGCAAAAATTAAGAGTATAGGACACCATACTTGCAGGGCCGGATTAACATAAGGGCTAGTCAGGGCTGAAGCCCCAGGGCCCAAAGAATGGAGGGGACCTGTGATTGGCTGTGGTGGAAAGGAAACGTAGACCTTGATTGATTGGCGATCGGGAGCACCCGAACTTTTCCAGGTGGACCGATTGCCGAAACCCACCACGCCCCCACATTTAGCGCTGTTATTAAGCCCAGAGTATACGTTGTTTTTTTTATGCATACGTTAGCCCTCAACAGGTGCTCAACACATGCACACTAGAAAGATTCTTCCTTTCCAGTGTCTGTGCTATTATTCTCCAAAAAGTATGAGCGATATAAATGTATTTGTACTCGTTTACACTACTGTTGTTATCTATTAATCGCCACGGCTTTACTGGAGCTCATGGGAAACAAACACCAAAAGCCAATGAAACGGCGCTACTTGATTAAACCGTGCAGCTTGCCGCTTTTGCCGCTCTATTGAAGTGATAACCAATGCTTTATCCATTTGAATGCGACACACGCCACTTATAACATTATATGTGAACAATAAAGGCTTTTTAGCTAGACAGATAAAAAAGATTGACATATTATGCCCCTTTTTACAATATGTAATATAAGTCTCTGGTGTCCCCAGAATGTGTCTGTGAAGTTCCAGCTCAAATTACTCCACAAAGTTTACAATTAAGTTTTACAACTAAGCACCCAAATACAGTAACAGGCAGTGATGTGCATACAAGGATTAAGTCTTGAAGATATAAAGTAAATAAATTAGTTGGCATCAGCGCAGAAACCATAATCCACTTACTATACATAATCCATTATATAATTTTGAAAATGTCTATTTTGAGTGGAAGCAGAAACACAGTTTTTCGTGCCTGTCTCTTTAAATGCAAATGATCTGCTGCTCCCTGCCCTCATTTCCAGAATAGAGTAGTGATGGGAAGTCTGGTTCTTTTCCGTGAGCTGGTTCTTTCGGACAGTGCGTTTCAAAGAACCGGTTAAAAAAAACTGTTCTTTTACGCCCTAACGTAATGACGTCATTCGAGATGATGTAATGAAATCAAGTCTATCGTCCCGGGCCGGGATGAAAATACACATTCAAATAT